ACAGCGGTGTCAGGACAGTGGTGGCAGCAAGAGCTGCAGGACTGGCAGTGGGCAAGGCACCATGGCCTTTGCTCTGCGCCTCCTCCTCCTGCTCCTCCTGGCAGTGGCCCTGCCTGACAGGGCTGCCCAGGCTGCTCCGTGGCGAGCAGGGCGAGCAGGTGAGCCGGCAGCCTCAGTCCCCTTTCCCGGGACAGTGCTCCCTTCTCCCTGGGAAGCATTGGGGATGGTTTTCCCCATGGCTTTAGGGAGGGTTTCCTCTGTGGGAGGGACAGAGGCCTCAGGGGCCCTTGGCTGGTCCCACTGCCCTTCCAAGGATGTTGCACAGGGCCTGCAAAGAGGGTAGAGAGTGACCAGAGCCAGCCCAGAGCTCCCCAGGCCCCTCTGCAGCTTTGGCCATGTCCATTGACATCTGGCTCCCATGGCCTTCCCTGACCCCCTTGCAGTGCCCAGTTCCCTAAGGCAGAAGGGGTTCCCAGCACACCATGGAATGGTTCTGATTTGTGCTCCCTTCCAGATGAGGGTGGTAGGAAGGCTTCTCCAGCAGCTTGGCTTCATGAAGATTTTCTGCCTCTGGAGCCCCATGCAGGTATGTTCTCACTGTCCCAACAAGGAATAAACACTGACAACCTGTCACAAACCAGGTGACAGAAGCTTCTGTGGCTGTTGAGTTACAGGTGTGTCTGCATCAAGGACATTTCAAGCTCCTTTTCTGGTTGCTGCCCGCAAGCCCAGCTCCCATCACAGGGGTGAGTGGTGTGTCCCTGCTGATCCCACAGGCTGAGCCCTGGTTCTGTGGCATCCATTCATCTGAAATGGAAATGCTTTCTGTTAAGGTCCTCCTAGAGGGAGGAACAAACCTACAGGAGACAAGAGGCTGAGTAATCTGGAGAGACACCGTGGTGTGTCCATGTCCCTCAGCCTCCTCCTGAGACTCAGCAGCCAGGGGCTTTCTCTGCACATCTGGACACGCTGTGCCCGGCACAGCAGGAAGGGATCCATGTCAGCCTCACTGCCCCTCTGCTGCTTTCACAGCCTGCAGGGCTGTTTCCCAGCCTGGCCTGGCTGCAGCTTCTCCCCAGCCTCTGCAGGAAGGCATTTGGCATCAGCTGACAGGGAGTCCAAACTGCAGCACGGGCCATGCACACCCTGAAATCCCCTGCAATTTCCCAGTCTTGTGGTAGATGTGGCTGGCCTGGCTCCAAAGTTTGGATGCCTTCCTGAAACTTATCCATATCTTTGACAACTATTGCCTCCTGAAGATGCCACCTTCATGTTGGGGAACAAACAGCCCCACCTGATGCATGTATCCCTCTTCCTTTCTCCAGAGACGGAAGGAGAGGCTGTGCTGAAGGCAGCGTTTCCCGGAGGAAGCAGTGGCTCATGGGCAGCCTCTGCTGCAGGAAGGGAGGCCATGCCAGGCACAGTCACAGTCCCAGGAGGTAATTGCTGTGCCTCTGGGCCTGAGCCCTGCTGAGGCTTGAGCTGCCATCTCTGCTGCTGGGCAGTGCAGGCACAGCCCGGACAAGACCAGCACAGCCCAGTGGAATTATCCCCAGCAGGCTCAGGGCACTTGGCTACTGAGCAGTCCTGCTGGGGTCCCTCCATGGGAGACAGGTCCCAAATCCTGGCAGCAGCTGCAAAGGGGTGCCCATGGTGGGGAATAGGCAGAGGGGGAGAGCAAGGCTCCACTGTATCCTGAAAGAGCCTGGCCCAGTCCCTATGGGATGGGAGAGCTGTCCCAGCAGAACGTGGGCAGGAGGGAGGGAGGGCCTGAGGGACAGTTGTGGCACTGCCTGCTGTAGTTCTTCCCCATTGCTTTTACAATTCTTTCAGCTGTGGCAGAGAGAGGGCCGCAGTGGGGCCTGGGCTGCTCCAGCCACCTCTCCCAGGGATGCTGCACAGGGCCTGCAAAGAGGGTGGAGAGTGACCAGGAGCCAGCCCAGAGCCCCCAGGCCCCTCTGCAGCTGTGGCCATGTCCACTGACATCTGGCACCCACAGCCTTAGCATGACTCCCTTGCACTGCCCGGTTCCCTAAGGTAGAAGGGGATCTCAGCACACCATGGAAACTGTTCTGATCTGTGCTCCCTTCTAGATTTGGAACTCAACCTCAATTATTTGGAAGTGCTACTGAATGATACTTTGAATATCTTGGAGAATGCTGGAGGCAAGTTCTTCTATTCCCTTTACTGACAGAACACAAAATGACAAGGTGGCAAGAGCTCACTCATATGCCATATCTCTTAAAATAATCTCAGGCTTGATGGGTTCTGGAAACCTCGCCCTGCTCCCTTCTAGAACCCTGAGGGATCCCACAGGTCACTGTCAGTGGGAGGAAGGTGAATTTAGGCATCAGTCTTCTTCCCATGTGCAATGCCAGTGTCTCCTTCCCTGTGTGCTGTGCAGCCACAGAGAAGATCAGAGAGGGAAGGGGCCGGGCCCAGGGCTGTGTCCCGGGGCTGTGCCTTGCACAGTTCCTTTACTGGCCCCAGAGAGCCTGAGGATCCTCCTACAGTGCCATGGGAGCTGATATGTCCTGCCTTTCTTTGCAGCCAAGCCTCTTGGTGAAGGTGATCTGGCTTCCCAACCCACACCCAGGACTGAGGCTCTGGAAGATGGTGAGGGTAGGTGAAGGCCTTTCCCCCTGGGAGAGCTGCCAGCTCAGAGCCCAAGGCTTGGCCAGGAGAGCATCGCTGCAGGTGCCAGGACAGAGCCATGCACGTGTGTGCCCTCGCCCTGCGTGATCCTCTCACCGCTCCTGAGGCTCAGTGCTGCCTGTGCAGATCAGAAGAGATGACAGAAGCTTCTGTGGCTGTTGAGTTACAGGTGTGTCTGCAGGGAGGACTCTCCCAGCTCCTGGGTTGGTTGCTGCACACAAGCCAGGCTCCCATCGCAGGGGTGAGTGGTGTGTCCCTGCTGACCCCACAGGCTGAGCACTGGCATTCTGGGATCCATTCCTGGGAAATGGAATTATTTTGCTCTAAGGTCCTCCAAGAGGAAATACCAAAGCTACAGGAGTTATGAAACCCCATGAGCCATCCAAACCCATGAGGCAAATGCTGAAGAAAATTCTGCAGGAAGGACAAGGTGGGTCCATGTCCCTCAGCCTTCTCCTGAGACTCAGCAGCTGGGGACTTTCTCTGCACATCTGGACACGCAGTGCCCAACACAGCGGGAAGGGATCCATGGCAGCCTTGCTGCCCTGCTGCTGCTTTCATGCCCTGCAGGGCTGTTTCCCAGCCTGGCCTGGCTGCAGCTTCTCCCCAGCCTCTGCAGGAAGGCATTTGGTATCAGCTGACAGGGAGCCCAAACTGCAC